AATCTTCGGCTTCGGTTGATAACACAAACGTCTGGCTTGATAATTCTTCATACCATGCTTAACCTCATTCTGTAGTTGTTAATAGACACATTTGGCAAACGTTTGTTTACACCCAATTCACAACTTGAGGTCACCCACATGCCTAGTTACTATTGTTCTAGTAATCAAAAGCATAGAATAGAACAAAGGTAACTAACAGGGGCGGCGCTAAAGGGGGTGTAGGGGTGTTCCACCCCCCGCAGTCATCGAGTAGTCGGCAAAATATTAAATCCCAGTCGGCAAAACATGGTTTTGGCTAGGAAAAAATTATTTCAGTGACACGGATTTAAATTTAAGAATAATGGCAATAATAGCTAAAATGGGGAGAAATTTCCGAAAACATTAGGGAATGGAACGAACAACGGTGGTTAAACACAAAATAAGATGACAAATATGTTGTCCAGAAACTTAATGTTTGTAGTTGAACATTTTTAATGGAACTGAGTCAACTGACGGGACTAATCATGCAGTTTTATAACATGCTCGTACGATTACAAATTTACAATGCATTCTAAACTCGCAGAGGTAATGAAGTTTGGGTGTTTACAACAAAAGGGCGGTAGCGGTGGCTCCACATCCAACAACAGAGCAAGCAGTTTTTACTGTTTTACACGCTGCGGTAAATTAATCAGCACATAATCATGTATTCACATGTTGAACGATACCAAAAAATTTTAAATAAAAGTCAATTCAATTGTGTTTACGCACCCATGGGTTCAGTATAGAACTCAAGCGTTCAAATTATAATAACAAGGTGAATTTCTAAAGGTCACTTTTTTTGAGACACTCTGTACATAACATAGTAGTTACTTTGTTCTATAGAGCGTTTGCACATGACGTCACAGCCGCCATGTTGGTGTTCCAATTCAAAAGAATTTTAATTGGACTGTTTTGTCTGGAACAGCAACATGGCCGCCATGGCATTTGATGAGTTGGTCCCTGGGGAATGAGTGCAAACGCTCTATTCTATGCTTCGGCTGTAAACTAGAACAATAGTAACAAAGCATGTGAGTTATCTAAACTTGTGAAATGAGTAGAAACAATTTGTAAATAACGTTAAAATACTCATTAATAATTCATAAACCTTGTGGCAAATCATGTCGGCCATAATATGTCACGTGGAGTGACTTTATATCTGATAAAGCATGAGGCATTGTATAATTGTTCATCTTGACAACCTGTCTCGTATTACATTTCGAATTCAATTTTTCTAATATAAATATCTCGGCGAGTATTTACCCCCCTTTTAAATAAATGCCACCATTGAAATCCTCACAATATAACCTTTCGAACGGGGGGTCAAGTGCCGTCAAAACATTACACAAACCGAAACAATCATATATTTTATACTCACTGCTTCGCCAAACATTCAAAGGAGAAAATGAGAAAAAGTTGAATATATTCTAAACTTTGGTGTCATTTCCTGAAAGGATATGTGTAAAATACTCTTTGTATTCAAGCGCTTTCGTGTAGAAAGTTTCGTATGTATACGCCGAATAGAAATATTTATTTTGAATTTTTAAAGTATCGGGTTTTACTCGCACGCGCTTGTATTACGTAATACTTGGCCAATAAGGAGCTCCCTTTAGCCGGGATGACGTAAAACTCACGCGTATGGGTGCACTTTGACCTGTAGAATCCATTCATTTCTGGCATTTCCAGAGTCACGCGATACAAGCGTAGCATTGTTTTGACGGGTTTTCGTCGTATTTCCGGTTGGGATTAACGCATATTCGGAGCAGAAATACAAAATTCGGCACTAAATGTCGAATTTTAAAGATAGAAGCTTGAAAATAACACTATACGTGTTATTTTTAACTGCTTCATACAGCAAGATTATCAGAATGAGCGTACGTCTCAATGGGACGAAGTTATATTCGGCGAAAGGTATGTTTATATTTATAATTTGTCAGTAATATTGCGTAATTTGATCCATATACGAGCTCGTTTGACTTTCAAAGCTCATAAATCGCTATAATGTTGCCATTCACTAAATCTATCGATAGGAATGAGTAGCTATCGTTACACTGAATCGAATGGTGGTATTTTGGTCCACGTAGCATTTACCGAACTGAAGATATGAACCGCAAAAATGATAAATCTTGAGTGATTTGTTTAATAGGGACCTGTCGGGAAAGAGTTAAAGGGTATTGGCAACAAAAATTTTTATTGATTTTATTGCTTCATCTGAAGGAGCATGAAAAAATAAGCCGATTGGCCGTTTACTGCTCTATTCTATCTCATCTGGTTCCGAAGTTATACGTAAAAATGTGCAAAATATAAATTGCTGATTCAGCACATTCTGTGACGTCATAAGCTGGGTAAGTATGTTTATTGAATAGTAAACTAAAGCATAGCTGAGTTATTATTAGCTCAAATCAAATGAAATTTTGCATACAGATAGTACATGATGAGATGCATGGGAAAAATACTTCTAATTTCGTTGTCAAGGCAACACAGTCGTTCCCAGGCCTCTTACACTGATTTTGAATAACTAGTTGCATTTATCTATGTGTATGTCATTTTCGAATTATTATCATGCAAGTAAACTTTTGGCATGCATAGGTATCATACACATACTTCTGATATTATTTTATTCTTATCAGTACCTTGAATAAAGCTGTTTCATAAAATTGGCGCAAGGGGCCTGGAAACGACATTGTTACCTTGGCAACAAAATTAGAAGTGTTTTTCCATGCGTCTCATCATGTACAATCAGTATGCAAAATTTCATTTGATTTGGGCCCATAATAACTGAGCTATGCTTCAGTGTAGTATTCAATAAACATACTTACCCAGCTAATGACGTCACACGTTGTGCTGAATCAGCAATTTATATTTTCACATTTTTGCGTATAACTTCGGAACTAGATGAGATAGAATAGAGCATTAAACGGCCAATCGGCTTATTTTTTCATGCTCTTTCAGATGAAGCAATAAGATAGATGAAGCAATTTTTGTTGCCAATTTCCTTTAATTAGTATGATTATACAGCATAATGGTTCATCCTAATTAGTATTCTTTTGTAGTCGTATTTTAAGCTATTCAAAATACTAGTTGTCGTGTTTTATCAGACATAAAACGCTCGGCTGCGCCTCGCGTTTTATATCTGATAAAACACTCCTACTCGTGTTTTAAATAGTACTTAGCCAAATTTGTCTATCAGTTTATTATTTCACATTCTGAGTGGCGATTCGTTTCAAGTTGTCGTAATTTTAAAATCAATTAACTACATATGTCTACACAATTAAGAATTTCCATTGGGTCATTCTTTACCTTCGGAACCTTCCTTTCCTTTTCCAATCCGGACGTTTTTCAGCCACAACCAGATCTGAAATTAAACAAAACTATAGAGACATAGACATGCATTATTTCTCTAGATCTGGTTTGCCATCCCTATACGTCTCTTCTAAACATCTCGGAAATAAAGACTATACTAGACTTTACCAGTGAAACGACTGCATGTACCGATTTTGTTACAATACCTATATGGCATGCAATCTAGGCCTAGAATGGTCGAAACCGCTTCTTCATCATGTGCAGATTTACACATTTTTGACCGACTCTTAAGCCTCTATTAAATCGTCCTCCACTGCATTTGAAACGATTCACATACGCTTGACATTTTGCGCGATCTTCACGCCCTTACTAATGGCAATGGTATGCAATCCAGAGTTTGCTTAATTTAAAACGTTACTCCATGCACTGACCTTTATGAGTTTGTCTACCATGATCTCGTAGACCTCGTAGTATTACAAAGCTATGTATCGTGGGCAATTCAATTTCACTAGCTGTTGTTTTGAGATCCCCTATTTTTCACTGAAATGAATAGCCGTTGCCGACAGCCACCAAGCTAGGTTTTATGAGTTTGCGGTATTACATACTGGGTTTGCGTAAAGAGATAACACTTATCCAAGGAATTCTAATGCCTAATGGGCTGATTTCCCCTTTGTTTTCAAGTCCCTTGTTAAGTGATATTATATTGTCCACAGAATACTGATATGATATGTATGAACGGGAAAAACAGCTGGCATAGGTGGCTTTTGCGGGGCATTTGCACAAAAAAATATCGTTAGAATCTCATTAAATTACTTTCCTTCCATCTGCTTTTGTGTTAAAATCAGTGGTTAAAATCCCGTGGGATTGCTTGAAAGTCACCTATTCCAAGTAATCGTGCGTAGGGTCACCTGCATACCGGTACAGGGTGTCCCAAAAATAAATGACACTATAGAAATTATCCTATTGTTATAATTTGAATGCCTGAACACTATGCTGAACACAAGAGTGCGTAAACACTATTGAATAGACCCTTTCAAGGTAACGACGCCATAACGAAACACAATAATGCAAGGGGTGCAAACACAATGGAATTCCCTATAGGGAAATTTGCAGGGGGTGCAAACACAATAGCTAGTGAAAACAATAGATTCAAGATGGCGTCGGAAACCTTAAATCCCCCTATTGAATTTTTAATTACCAGGCGCATGAAATCCTGTGATTATTAAACAACATTAGGATAATTTCTACAGGGTGTATAAAAAAAACGCACCCTCAGAATTTTCCCAAGAAATCGACATTGTTTTAAGGACAAAAGATTTTAGGTCCCTGGGAATTTAAAATAGCACAACTGTCAAAATTACTGCACACGCGAGTGCTAAAGCAAAATTTATACATTTATTTATTAATGACACTTAATAAGTTTTAATTTTACAAGTACAGTACGTACAACAACAGTTAAATTAATATTATCAAGGGCCTTGTCAGATGTATGCTAATATGATCTATTAGCAATTCGATTTCAATTCCCAGGGGTCTAAAATCTTTTATGCTTAAGAATTGCAAAGTGGATTTCTTAGGAAATTCCGAGGTTGCGTTTTTTTTATACACCCTGTACAGTATAGTATACTTTTGAAATAGATCGGACGTGCGGATGAACCCAAAATAGAACAGCGGGTTAAATAGAGGGGAAAAGCAGTTGTAGTTACTGACTACTAATTGTAGGAAATATATACAACGACAACACAATGCTCTACATTTTCCTGGTAATTGATATCTCTTCTTGCATTTCTGGCGTTGTAAAGTAAGTAATCATAAGCCCTATTGGCAGTGACTATTCAGGTCAAATCTCGATGAACAATACTTAAAGATTTGCCTCCTCTGTTAAATTTTCCCTGGTGTTACTGTAAGATTTTTCCATAGTTAATTTGGTAAGTAATTGAAACGTTTTAAATTAATATCTTTTGACTCTTTGGAAATGATGGGTTAGAAACACGGTCACGGACACTTTTGGAAACGGACGGGCAGTTAAACACGGGTACTTATGGAAAAGACGGGTATTTAAGAAATAGTCGGGCACTTAAACACTTTGCCTTTCAGGCAGCGATCAAGAATCTTCATATTACTGTTTTACTCTATTTTTTTTTTTGGGGGGGGAGCTATATAGTCCCCTAGCCCCCTGTTCTGCCGTCCCAGGATTTACGTAATCTTTTGTGGGGAAAGTAAAATCGCGTCTGGCGTTAAATTACCGAATCAATGACATACTGTACTGGTCCGAATATACCATTACCAAGATTACCGAATGTGCTTAGTGTTATGCAAAGCGACCATTTTGTCACACTCAATGGCATGAGCCTGTTTCTTATTTTAATTAACTGCATCGATGCAGTGTCATTAATTTTTAAAATTACATCACTTATAATAAGGGTATGATAATAGGAGTATGCTATTTGTCGAGTCAATTGCTTGTATTGTGCAAACTGTTACGTCACCGCCGCCATTTTGGATGAATTTGATAAGCAAAAAAGAAAGGAATGCTCAATTGAGATAATGAATACTGTAGATAAATTTCGTTATTCTTAAAACTATCATTATAATTATTATATAGATCAGCTATTCTTGATTTACTTTATATGTGATTATATTATGGTATACTAATATCTCTATAGGTTTTATAATGTTGTCTCTGTAAATTGTTATCTCAAGGCCACCGAATGATTCAGTAATTTGTAAAAAGGCCTGGTGCGGCTCCTCTTTGACAAGCCATATGTATGCCTTTTATTCCCAGTGTCAAAAATGAAAATACATTTGACAAAACACTGTCTGAACAGTTCATTGAACAATTCCTGCTCTTCGTGCTCGATACTTCGTTTGATTCTTCTTCTGTGCACTCGCTGGCATCTTGAGAAAATTGGAGAAAATAAGAACGTTTATATAATAAGGTTATATATAAGGTTATTCAATTGTGCGGTGCCGACTGTTTTAAATCGAATAGTTTCACTGAATAGTTTCAACCCCCCCCCCCCCTCCCGCATTCAAATTCCCTTTTCTTTAAAATACAAGCAGAACATTGGAAGAAAAATGGAATTTAGAAGGGAGGTTTGATATTATAGTAACTGAAATTTGCTTTGCGAATCTTAGGGACCGTTCATTATTTATACCCTGGGGGTGGGGGGAAGATTCTTATGTCATATACAAAAATCTTGTAGCCCTCCCCCCTCTTGATGATCTAAATGTTGAAGACCCCCCCTATAAAATACTGAAAAATCTATACACCTCCCCCCATTTGTATGCCAATGTTTTAATACTTTAAACTCGGAACACTGTATAAGTCAAGACCCAGAACTATTGTTTCCCTTGCATACTTTTGCTTTACAATTACGAAGTGGCTATTCGTACTGGAACAATACGCCGAGTTTGATTTGCTATTCGTAGTGCAGTTGGAATATTTAAGATAAACAGACCCCATTAACACCAAACCCTTCGTCCCTTCTCTAACCCTAATCAATAAATGTCTAATAAACTATTTGAAAGTTAAAAAAGTTGGGGGGAAATTATTTTTAATATTTTAAGTCCAGCAAACAGAAAACCGACGGCTAAAACTAAAATTCGCTTCGCTTAGCGGTTGCAAAAAACTATTTTATATTACTAATTTACGAAATGTAAGAATCGGGTGCCATATTTCAGTAGTTAAAATTATATTATCTCTATTACAAGAATAACTTCCTATAATAAGTTTTCGCAATTTCTTATATAAAGTGTTTTAATAATTCCTTTGGGAAGTTGCCGTATTGGACATTGTATTTTACATTCGAGTTATTTATCAGGGTGTGTTAAACTATATAAAGTATCAACAAACTATTAATGCACATTTTACACAGAACTTAAACTGGCATTTGAATATGATATTTGTGGTGTTACTCTGAGTGTATATCCACACCGGTTTAACCCTTTAAGTGGCATAAGCCCTACTTTATTATTTTACTCTGTCTAACGCCAGACTATTTTACTCTGTCTACTATGCCAGACGATTTTACTTGTCAGGGGGGGGGAGAGTGCTGCCACTCAATGGGTTAAGGATATATTTATTTATATATATATATATATTTAAACTAGTTGCGCGATTTAATTTCGCGCACCTTGCTGATACTTATATTCACACAGCTTTAAGTTTGCGCAAGTAATTTTCCGTGCTCGTTTGGTTTGTTTAATAGAACTATTAACAATTAATACATTAAAGTGAGTATTTTTTATCAATAAATACTTCAATATTTGTCAAAACTTAATCAAAAAGTGATTTAATAGGTGGCCTCAAAAAATGGCTTCACAATTATGTAATGTAAGCAAAATTAATGATAACAATAAAGCGTGAGTTCAAAATACCAAAAAGAACTGAAACATTTATTGTATGGTTCTAATTTGCCTAATGTAACAATAACAATAATCTTTATTAGCATTCCCATATATTATAGGTTAATAAATGGTATTGCCTAACATAGTTAAGTCAAACAAAATTTTAGCTTAAAGTTCAAATGGATCCTCTTTTTGTTGTGTCCAGGATGAAGATGAAGACATTTTTCATTTTTCATGTTACCAGGACAACTTAAAACATATGTTAAATGTGTATATGCGTTAATAAATCAACAGATTTGCATAACTAACAACGAGTGTCTCATATTACACCACAAAGATTTTCACACGGATTTCATTTCGCGCCGCACAAATTCTAGTACTGCGCGAATTCTAGTACTGCGCGAATAGTTCTTGTTGTTTTGCATTAAATATTATACAATCCAAAGTTTTCATTTCTGGCGAAAATTTCCCACTTTATACCAGTAATGTTCTCTATATAGACAGGTGCTACAGTATTTTCAGGTATTTTTTACACCTCCCCCCCCCCCTCAGGACTCCAAAAAAGCAAGTACCCCCCATAGGACAAGATGAAC